CACACACACACACACACACACACACACACACACACACACACACACACACACTGGCACCAGACTGAGATCTGTCAGCCAGGACAGAGAAATCTATGAGACTTTTCTTTGATTAACCAGCAAAAAAGCTGGAAGTGGAGCTGTGGCTCAAGTAATAGAGCTTTAGCTTTTTTTACTCAAAGCTAAAGAACTGTACCCAGGATGTGAGTTCAAGCCGAAGACTGGTACACATACATATAAGGAAGTTATCAGGAAAGAGCTAATTGAGATCTGGCCATTGGTAGTTCATTGTTTTCATTTCATAAAATAAAATGAGGATTCTGCCGGGTCCCTCTTTGTATGTATCTTTGTTCCATTTTTTCTGTTCACAACTATTGCTTCTAATGTTACTGATTTGTCATTAAGGACTTTTAACAAAGAGCTTCTGTGGTTTGAGGTTCAGGAAGGGGAGCACAGCCACCAGTGCACTCTTGAGCAAAGCAGAGTCCTTTCTCAAGGATGTGTGTCTTCTTCACCTTCAGGAGGGACGCATATAGACCAGTGAGGGCTAGCCAGCCAGATCAGCCAGATCAACCCTGGTGATCAGTGGGTGACATGTCACAGTCACATCGCCCACATTCCAGGAATATTATTTAAGAAGTTGGAAAATGTCAGTTCTGTTGCCATGTCACTAGGTTGATATCATGGAATAATTTATTTTGATCTGTAATGGGTTATCAAACATGGCTTTCTTTTTAAAAACTTAGGGTTGGCATTTTGAAACCAACTTCCAGTTCTGCTGGATGTTTTATAATTTTAGAGGTAAGAATAACTAATGGTAATCTGTTCATATTTAATGATCTGATTTCTCCTTTCTCTGTGAAGCTTTGCAAGGACAGATTGTTCAGTTCAAACTCTCAGACATCGGAGAAGGCATTCGAGAAGTAACTGTCAAAGAATGGTAAGCTAATCTGAAAATATATTTTTTTTGCCAGTCCAGGGGCTTGAACTCAGGGCCTGGGCATTGTCCTTGAGCCTCTCTGTGCTCAAGGCAAGTGCGCTGCCACTTGTGCCAAAGTGCCACTTCTGGCTTTTTCTGTTTATGTGGTACAGAGGAATCAAACCCATGGCTTCATGCATGCTAGGCAAACACTCTACCACTAAGCTACATTCCCAGCCCCATCTGAAAACATTTTAAGTAAACGGAAATAAGTATTTACTTAGAGGAATCCATTTAAGTTGAGAAATTTCTTCCTATAATAACGTAATTACTTTGTTGATAATATGTTGGAAGAAAACACATGCATTCAGGCATTTTTATTTGATGTGATTAATTAATGACCATTACTTCCCCCTGATTGTGTGTGTGTGTGCGTGCGTGTGTGTGCATACACATGTACTGGGGCTTGAACTCAGGGCCTGGGTGCTATTTCTTCGCTGTTTTACTGAAGGCTGGCTTTCTACTACTTAAGCCACAGCTCCATTTCTGGCTTTTTTGTTTGCTTTTTGCTTTTGGGCTAATTTGAGATAAGAGTCTCATAGGCTTCCTGCCTGCACTGGCTACAAACCTCAGTCCTCAGCTCTCAGCCTTTTTTAAAAAAAAATTTTTTTTTATTGAGATTAAGTGATTACATAAATTTCACAAATTTCACAGTATTGGGGGATAGTGATACTTAAAGTCACAAACACATTTTAACCTTCATAAGGCAAATTGTCAATATCATGGTCTATAACGTTTGTGAATTCTATGAGCTTTGACAATACAACTATTTCTTCCACATCAGGTGATTTGTACATTTCTTTCCTTTTGCTTAGTATAAGCTGTTCCCTCTTTCCCTCTCATTCTCTCCCTCCAATCACTGCCCTTGAGTTGCTTAGTTCATTTTCATCAATGTCCATTGCAGCTGATGGGCCTCTCTGTTGTATATTTTCCGTTTCCTTCTGATTCTGTGCCCTCCTCCTAGCTTCCTCAGATGTGCATATATAGATATAGATATAGAGATATAGATATACATGTATATCATATATGTGGTCAAGAACATGGAGTCCTTTAGAATGATCTCAGCCTCTTGAGTAGCTAGGATTACAAGCATGAGCCACCAGTACCCAGCTCAACCATATTTTTCTGTTTCTTTGAATGTTTATTTTTTTAATTGAATGTCTATTTTTTTAAATTGAAAGCTAGACGTTTAAAAACAATGGAGCAAATCAAGAAATCAGTTCCTTTCCTTCCCAGGATTTTCGTTGTTGCTTTTAGGATGTGAGGTGGTGGATGTTGTGGGTTTGTTTAGTGATTTTCCTGGACCAATTCTGAAGTCTGTTTTCTCTTTGGTTTGTTGCTGCTGAGATCTTTAATTAGCATAGAAGATCCAAAATGATCAGACACAGATTTCCTTACATATTTTAACCAATAAGCCTTCAACCCTTTGCCAAGAAATTCTGTTTGCACATTGATCATATCTTGATTCCTCTAGCAATTTCTAGCCCTCCCACAGCCTGTATTTCCTGCTTTAACTCGGCCTCAGGGTAAAGTGGAGATGATTACCCAGGGCTCTCTCAGGTCTTTTTTGAGCATGTGCATATCTTGTAAAGAAAGACAGTAAAGATGGTACCTGTCACTCACACCTTTAATCCTAGCTACTCAGCAGGATCTCCGTTTGAAGCCCGCCTGGACAGGAAAGTCTGTGAGACTCTTAGCTCCAATAAACTAAACAGAAAAAGCTGGAAGTTGCATTGTGGCTCTAGTGGTAGGTGAGCACTAGCCTTGAGCACAAAGAGGCTCAGGGACAGTGCCCAGGCCCATAGTTCAGGCCCCAGGATTGGTTTAAAAAAAAAAAAGACAGTAAAAAGAAATAACACCTTTTGTTTGTTTTGTTTTACTCATCCTGGGCCTGAACTAAGGGTATGGGGTGTGGGTAATGTCCCTGAGGGTTTTTTTTTCTTATTTTTCTCCTCAAGGCTAGCTCTCTACCACATGAGCTACAGCTTCACTTTCAGCTTTTTTGGTATTTAATTCAAGATAAAAATCTCACAAGCTTTTCTGCCTGAAGTGGCTTGGAACTTTTATTCTCAGATCTCAACCTAAGATTACAGACATGAGCTTCAGCACTTGGTAGGAAATAACACTTTTAAGAATGTCTTTAACAGGATCATGTTTTGAATACATGGGGCAAAAGTTCAGGAAACCAGACATAATGGTATGCTCCACACAAGAAATAAAAAGTGGTGTTTCATTGTTGCTTTTAATTGAGTTTTTCTAAACACTAATAATGCCAGTATCTCTTCCTGTACTCATTCTGTATATTATCTTTAGAGAAATTGTATTAAATATTTTACCCCAGTTGAAAAAAAATGTCTTTAAAAAAAAAAGGTGGATCAATCAATGTTTAGATCCATGAATGGATTTGCAAAATTTTAGCCTATATCAGAGAGAATCTTTTTTTTTTTTTTTTTTGCTTATGTGGTGCTGAGGAATGGAACCCAGGGCCTCAGGCATGCAAGGCAAGCGCTCTACCACTGAGCCACCTTCCCAGCCCTGGAGAGAATCTCTTGGTGCTCCGTGTGACAGTAAATTGTGGACTAGGCGGCTCCCTATGGAACTCAGCGTGGAATTTATGTTGTTATTGTGAGTGCACGTGCAAAAGCGCCTCGTAGCTCATGTCTTTTCCTTTCAGGTATGTGAAAGAAGGAGATACGGTATCCCAGTTTGACAGCATCTGTGAAGTTCAGAGCGATAAAGCTTCGGTTACCATCACGAGTCGTTACGATGGCGTCATTAAAAAGCTCTACTATAACCTAGACGACATCGCCTATGTGGGGAAGCCATTAGTAGACATTGAGACCGAAGCTTTCAAAGGTACTGCAAATGTGGTCATCTGTTTAACAAGTTGAATACTGCTGTCCTTTAGTCACTGGGTCCCCATGGGAAGCAATCCTTCGCTATTCAAAGCCAGCCCAGGCAGAAGAGTCTGTGAGATTTGTACCTCCTGTTAACCAGCAAAAGGCTGGATCTGGAGCTGTGGCTCTAGTAGTAGAGCCTCAAGCTTGAATGAAAAAAGCTAAGGGAGAGGCTGGGAAGGTGGCTCAGTGGTAGAGCGCTTGCCTTGCATGCATGAGACCCTGGGTTTGATTCCTCAGCACCACATAAGCAAAAAGAAAAAAGCCGGAAGTGGCGCTGTGGCTCAAGTGGTAGAGCGCTAGCTTTGAGCTGAAGAGCTGAGGGACAGCGCCCAGGCCTAGAGTTCAGGCCCCACAACTGGACCCAAAAAAAAAAACAAAAAAAAAGCTAAGGGAAAACTCAAGACTCTGAGTTCAGGCCCCAGTACCAGCACAAAAGAGAACAAAACAAACAACAACAACAAAAACAAAAAAAAAGGTAGCATTTGAGTTGGAGTGGATTGTAGTTCTGTAGTCTATGTAATCATAACTAATATTATAATCATTTAGTTTTCAGAATCACATTTTTAGAATTTATAAAATATCTGACCCCTATTTTCTCTATCCATGTGATAGATAATAGATAAAGAAATAGACACAATCAGAAAACTTGGGCAATTTGCTCAGTCGTCAGTATTATTTGTAAGGTATGTATATAATGTGAAATGAATGAAATGTGAAATCCTGAGAATTGAACCCACAGTTTAAAGTGTATTAGGCAAATACTCTACCACTGAACTGTACCCACAGCCCAACACAGCCACATCTCCAACCTAAAAGTGATAAAAATTTCAGTTTAGTCTTAATTGCATTCTTTTTAGATTCTATACAGGTAATATAATGAAATCTTCCCTGCTTACACATAGCATTTTTGTGATCACCAAAGAACACAATGTATGTAAAACATTTTGGAAATTCTTACAAGTGTTATATAAGAAAGTGATGCTTTCGTAGGCAGGCGCTGGTGGCTCATGCCTATAATCCTAACTATTCAGGAGGCTGAAATCTAAGGATCACAATTTGAAGCCAGCCCAGGCAGGAAAGTCCATGAAACTCTTATCTCCCATTAACCACCAAAAAGCTAGGTGTAGAGCTATGGCTCAAGTGCCAGAACACCAACCGTGAATGAAAAAGCTAAGGGATGACACCCAGACCCTGAGTTCAAGGAAGGAAGGAAGAAGCAGGGTGGGGGGGAGAGGGAGGTAGAAGGGAAGTCTTGTGAGGGAGAGAGAGAGAGGGGAGAGAGAGAGGGGGGAGAGAGATAGAAGTATTTATGGTACTAACAGTTTTTTTAAATAGGATTCTTCATATGGGGGGAGAGAGATAGAAGTATTTATGGTACTAACAGTTTTTTTAAATAGGATTCTTCATATGGGGGGAGAGAGATAGAAGTATTTATGGTACTAACAGTTTTTTTTAATAGTATTCTTCATATACTTCATTTCACATTTGATTTTTTTCTTTTTTTCTTTTTGGCTGGTTGTGGGGGCTTGAACTCCAGGCCTGAGCTTTGTCCCTGAGCTTTTATGCTCAAGGCTACCACACTACCACTTTGAGCCACAGCATCACTTATGGTTTTCGGTGGTTAATTGCTGATCAGAGTCTCACAGACTTTCCTGCACAGGCTGCATTCAATCTGTGATCCTCAGCTCTCAGCCGCCTTCTGAGTAGCTAGGATTATAGACATGAGCTACCAGCACCCAGTGAATTTTAGTTATTCTAGGCCATTAACCTTTCATATCTACCTATCATAGATAGATGGATAGATAGATACATAGATACATAGATAACATTTTCACTAAAGTTAAGTGTTCCCTTGTTGCCAGATTCTGAGGAAGATGTTGTTGAAACTCCTGCTGTGTCCCATGAGGAACACACACACCAAGAGATCAAGGGCCAGAAAACACTGGCAACTCCTGCAGTTCGCCGACTGGCAATGGAAAACAACGTAAGTTGTCTTGCTATTTAAGTCTAGGGGCCATGTCTAGGGTCTATGAGAAGTGATAATGGCATCTTCACACTTGGGAGAGATAAGAAGACATTATAAATGTGTGTGTGTGTGTGTGTGTGTGTGTGTGTTGTGTGCATGCTGGTCCTGAGGCTTGAACTCAGGGCCTGAGCACTGTCCCTGAGCTTTTTTTGCTCAAGGCTGGTACTCTATCACTTCAGCCACAGCTCCACTTCCAACTTTTTTGGTGGTTAATTGAAGATAAGAGTCTTGAACTTTTTCTGCCCAGGTTGGCTTCAAAGTACAATCCTCAGATCTCAGGCTCCTGAATAGCTAGGATGACAGGTGTGAGCCACTAGTGCCTGGTTCATGCACTTCATACTTCACCTTAATCGAACAATGTGGCTTTTAGTCTTTTTAGTGTCTAATAATAGTAAAAGTCACTACTAAGTATTTCCAAGTACTAATATCAGGTCAGATGAACTACAGGTGCAACTTGTGATCGATTTATTGAGAAAGTAAGAACTGGTTAAGGCAATGAGAAGTTATGATAAGAAATTAAAGAAAGAAAGGAAATAGCCCAGGTATGGATGTGGTGGCAAGTGATGAGATCTAAAGGGGTGGAGGCAGGGAGGCTGACCATTTGTATTACCTTTGCCCATCTGTGTTAGCTACCCATCACTATAACAAAATACCTGAGATAATCAAGTTAAAAAGAAAGAAGTGCAGAGTCCGTGATCAGTGGCCCCATTCTTTGCTCCGGTGAAGGCACAGCACATCGTGGGGACAGTACATGACAGAGGAAGGCCATTCTACCACATCGCTAGACTCCAGGGACGGGATTGTATCCCACAATCCTCTCCAAGGACACACCCCCAGTAACTGGAAACATCTCTCACTAGGCCCCACTCTAAAACTTCTGCTCCCAATAACACCAAACTAGGAACCAAGCCCTCGCATGGACCATTCAAGAATGTTCCAGATCCAAACTACAGCAAGGTCATTGACCCAGTGGAGGGTAAAATGCAAGCAAGGCGACTGTCTGACTGTGTAATCGGTCTTTACATATTATCTCACTGAACTTGTGAGACAGGCAGCATTCTGAGAGTAACAGAGGTAAAGTAACACCACCACTAATGCACTGAAGCAGACTTTAACAATGAAGTCTCCATTGCAATGCTAATGGTGTCCCTTATTAACAAATTGCCTGACCAGTCATTGCCTTTGTTGTGGGAGCATGTATGTGCCAGGTGTTTTACACACTTCATCTCCAATTCTCACACCCACCCTTCATGGTAAATTACCACTATTTACTCATAAGCAGAGTTAAGAAAGTCCCATCCCCTTGTTCAAAATCAGGTAAATAGCTGAACTGGGTCATCAATCTGTTTAGTTGCACTGCTCCACGATCAGACTTTCCATGTTTCTGAGGAAAGTAATTGACTTACGGTAGGATTATAACCAAAACTCACATTTTGGAAGTGGATAATAGAGTCATTAAAATGTTCACATCCCCCCAGCCAGTTACCCTGCCATTGGAGAACTATTCGAAGAAAATAATCTCAGATACATTCTTTGAGGTGTTGGGGTTTTGTTGTTTGTGTGTTTAAGGCAGAATCTAGCTATAAAACTAACCTGGGTTGACTTCCGACTCATGGTGCCTTTGCCGCCTGAGTGCTGGTACTGCAGGTTTATACTACCATGCCTGGCTTCCTTAAATAAGCAAAAAAAATAGAAGGTACATATATTTTCAAAATTGGGGAAATTCTAGTGTGTACATATATATATATATATATATATATATGTACACATGTATATATATATAT